GGGGAGAAGGGAGAGAGAGAGGTCAAGGTGAGGAGGGGAAGGAGAATGAAGAAGGCGGGAAAAGGAAGGAAAAGACTATCAAGGTCAGTCTGACCTGACTCCCTGGAACTTCATTCTTGCTACCATCAATTTGACCGAAAACAAACTGAAGATTGTCAAGAATGGTCAGGAAGGACGGGGAGGGACGTAGGGAATCAGGAAAAGAGCGAGGGGAGGGCGGAGAGAAAACAAGGGTCGGAAAGTGGTAAGAAGGGTATGAGACAGACGAAGAGTGAAGGATGGGATAGACGAAGAATGAAGGAGACAAAGAGAAGGAAGAGGAGGAGAGGGAAAGGAGGGAGAGGAGAACGGAAAAGATGACAGAGGAGGGGAGAGATAGTGCTCTGAGGAGAGGAGGAGAGAAGGGAAGCAGGAGAGGAGAGCAGAAGGGGAGGAGAGGAGAGGAGGAGTAGGGTGAACCTCGCCAGGGAATCTCGTCTCAAAGTACTTCGCTGCCAACTTGTATTTCGGTTCGAGCGCCTGCATTTGACGTGAATGGGGCAGAAGGTAGGAGGATGATGAAGGAAGAGAGGAGGAGGAGACGAGGAGAGGAAGAGGTAGGTTTCGTAGCTGGAGCTGGAGCTGGAGCTGGAGCTGGAGCTGGAGCTGGAGCTGGAGCTGGAGCTGTATCTTACCCTACAATGTCTGCACCAAGGAGCGAAGAACTCGATCACAACATGACGATCCTGCTCGACAAACTCGCGAAACTGCTTGCCGACAATCTTCTTGACCACAGTCGCGTTCCAGTTGTCGTAAACCTGAAGAATGATGTCAGTGTCTTGCGTTGCTGGGAGGAGGAGGAGGAGGCGGGAGGAGGCGGGAGGAAGCAATGGAGAGTAGGAAAGAATAAACAAGGATGTAGCGCTTCGGCGGGAAGACTGCTGCTGATAGACTGGGCCGAGAAAGACACAGAAGGCAATGAAAAGGATGAAGAGAAAGAAGAGAAACGAAAATGGAATGTGCGGGAGCAGTGGGAACAGGAGCGGGAGCGGGAGCAGGAGCAGGAGCAGGAGCAGGAGCAGGAGCAGGAGCAGGAGCAGGAGCAGGAGCAGGAGCGGCAGGAGCAGGAGCGACAGCAGGAACAGGAACAGGAGCAGGAGCAGGAGCAGGAGGAAGAAGAGTACGAGGAGGAGGAAGTGAAAACCTTCTCAGAGATGTGGTATGGTTGCAGCTTGTCTTTGAGAAAGTCATCAAGAAAGGCTAGAATTCTCTCCTGCTGTCCGTCAGCTCTCCTGCCCCTCCATGCTCTTCCTCCTCCTCCATTCTCCCACCTACCCGCCCACTCCCTTTCCCATCCCCTTTCTGGTCGTCCTCACTTTGCCACCTCCTCCAACCCTTACCTTCTCTGTCCTCCTCCTCTCCTCCCCCTCTCGTCCTCCCCCTCTCGTCCCCCTCTCGTCCTCCCCTCATCCTCCTCATCCTCTGCTTGCTTCTCACCTTGTTCAATTTGCCTTCCTCGAGCCGGTACCTCTTGCTCTTGTCGATTCGAATCACGTACACCCAGCTCTCCTCTCCGGTCTGCAGTCCTGCCCAGCTGAAACGCAACAGCGTGAAAAGGGCGCAGCAAAGAGCAACGGGGGTGTGGAGATGAGAGAGAGGGGGGGGGGGGGAGGGGAGGAGGGCAAGAGGGGAGGAGAAGGAGGAAGAGGAAGGAGGGAAGAGCAGAGCAGAGCAGAGCAGAGGAGGAAAGAGAGGAGGAGGGGGAGGGGAGGGAGGAGAGGAGAGCTCACTTGCTGATCCTCTTGTTGGTCTCATTGACTATCTCAACGAAGTTGAACCTGTCGCGCATCTCCTGCTCCATCCCGTCACCCCCCAGCAGGAAGTTTGCGGCGTCTCTTGCCATCGCAGCGGCCCGGAACTCCTCCAGGTCCTGAGGTGAAGCTCGGAAGATCAAGACCTGAAGGTTGCGGTCAGAACAGCCCGGGGGCAGCTGAGAATCTGACCTTGGGCACCGTGTCGTCCAGGTAGAAATCCTCTTCGTTCTCGTCTCCAAGCTTGAGGATGACAGGATTCGAGAGCTGAGAGTGGTTGAGAACAGAACCGAGCACACCAGAGCATAGCAGAGCATAGCAGGGCAGAGCATAGCAGGGCAGGGCAGAGCAGGGCAGGGCAGAGCAGGGCAGACGCAGACGCAGAGCATAGCACAGCACAGCACAGCACAGCACAGCACAGCACAGCACAGCACAGCACAGCACAGCACAGCACAGCACAGCACAGCACAGCACAGGGAGGAGGGGAGGGGAGCAGGAGACCTTGATGACCTCCCTTGCAAGCTCGTTCGGATCGGGGGAGCCGGAGTAGAGGATCTCTCGCCCAGTCTCGCTGATCGAGTTGTCTTCCTCCACTTTGGTGTAAAACCTCACCGCAGGCATCTACAACTCGATCAGGATGTTGAAAAGATGGAGATGAGCGAGGGTCGCGTCAAAGTGAAGAGTTGTTGTGGACGAGGACAACGCGTTTGGGCTGGATGAAGGAGAAACATTTGGAAGTTGAGAGAGAGAGGAAAGGAGAGGAAGGAGAGAGAGAGAGAGAGAGGAGAGGAGAGGAGAGAGAGAGAGAGAGGAGGAGGAGAGGAGAGAAGAGAGGAAGAGAAGTATATTGTGGGCGAGGATGAAGCATACCTTCACGCCCATCGCCTGCGCCACCTGCGGGTTGTTGACCATCTCGAAGTCTTTTCCCTTCAGTCTCGATTCTGGTCCGTCGGTCAGGACGACCCGCGCGGCTACCACCTCGTCCTACCAACGTCTTGGAAGGCATGATACAGCTTATCCTCAGTGTTGTCAAAAAATCCCACAGCGAGGAACCTGCTGTACAATCTCAGGACACGCCTGTTCCTCCTTGGCAGCGATTCGACCGTGTCATGCTGTCAATGCGAGCCTTCAAGCCCTCGACAGTGTCGACGTCAGAGGACATGGTCGTGTGCCTCCTGCACCACTCCACGATCTTGCCCGCCTGTCGCTCGTTGGGCTGCAAGCTGGTCAGCTTGCCGTCCTCGAACCACTTGAGCGTCGGGAACGACTTGACACCATACTCTTCCTGCTCTCCTCGTCATCGCTCCTCCCTTCTTCTGCCTCTCTACCTGCACGCTGGGATACTGAGTGACGTCCAGCCTGGCAAGAACGACCTGGCTGCTTTCTGCGCTGATTTCTTCTGCGGCTTGACTGTTTCCCAGCACGATGGTCAATCATCCCCTCTCCATGCTTCCTCATCTTCCCACCTGTACTCTGGCTCGAGGGCCTGACAATGTCCACACCTGCAACAAGTTTCAACCAACCAGTTACGAGCATGCAGAGACCGTCCAAGGGGCGACAGAACACAAGGAGCGGTCAGGAGGGAGATCGAGTAGGAAGTGAGGTGAGGAGGGAGATCGAGCGAGAGATGAGGCGAGGAGGGAAGAAGATCGTCACCATGGTGCGTAGAATTCGAGCATCATGTACTTGTACTGCTGTGACGTGGACTGGAACGAGGAGGATCAGGGGATCAGGAGAGAAGCTTACAAGGTACGTACAGTTATGTTGTCTGGAGAGAGATCAAGCACTTTAGAGGCAGAGGAGGAGGAGGAGGAGGAGGAGGCAGCGGGCATGACGCAGGCGACGACGGCCAGGGCCAGGGCAAGCCGGCACCCTGACACCATATGCACCGCCGGGAAAGTTCTGAAAGGCTGTTTCTGTAGAATTTTTGCGAAGGGCAAAGTTTAAAAAAGTTTGAGGCATCATTGAAAATGGCGGTGGGAGGTGGAGGAGCAAGCATGTACATGGGGAGCCTGGCGCTCGCCATGCTGCTGATGATCGTGAGCATTCTCATACGACTAGAGGGGAGAAGGTCTGTATATCCCTCGCCATGCCGACGTTGATCCTCGACTGATTCGGCATGTTGATTTGACAGGGCCATTCTACTCCAAGTCCTCGTGGTGATCGGAAGCACACTGAAAGTCTGTTGGGATAGGATCTTCGAGTATGTAAAGCAGGAGCTAGATGCTGCCAACTGCCCTGGAGGAGATGTTCCCTTCACTGACTGGGTGGGAGTCGTTTCTCGTATTTCTGACTGCAACACCGAACGCTGGCTCGATCAACCGTCGGGTCAGATCTTCCTCAAGGCGTACCAGCTGGTGACTGCGGATGCCTCCGGGTGGTTCTGGTCGCAGGTCCTCCTGACCCTAGTGACGCCCTTGTTCCTTCACCTGCATGTCAACCGTGTGGCCTTGAAGCGGTGGGAGAGGGTGGCGATCACTGGTGTCGGTCTCCTTGGAGCTATCTGCTCTGCCTTCTCTGCCGCCTTGCTCCTGTTGAACATTCTCCACAGTCGGAAGACGATCCTAAGGAGCAGGAAGGACGTGGAGGACGAGAGGAAGGGGTGCAGTGAGGTACGGGTTTCGCCTCTGGTGATTGCTTCAGGCTTCTTGTCGTTGCTGTGCGTGTTCTTCTTCCTGCCAAAGACCGTGAACACAGACTCCACTGCCTTCACGTTCTTCCTCCTCCTCCTGCACCTCTCCTTGCTAGCTCCTTCCTTGGACGCCACTCCCTGGAGCCCTCTGAAGGACTCGAGGCAGTTCTCGCGCAGGAAGCTCTTCCTTGCTGTTGGGATCTGCTCGGCATTCCTGCATCTAGAAGCGCTTCTTTCAAGTCTCCACAAGAGCAGCGGGCCCTCTTTCTTCTCTGCCGCTCTCGCCAACCCTTGCCAGGTACCTCTCCAGTCGTCTCTCCTGCTCTTCTCATAGAGCTAGCAGACGTCCATCTTTGCCGATGCCATGCTGTCTACTGGCTTCGTCTTATTGTACATGCTGTCCATGTCGGGGATGGGGGCGTTCAAGTATGTTGCTCTCGCTCCCCTGCTAGGGCCTGGCGCCATGCTTTCGTTCTACTTGCGCGAGCAGAAGTTCTAAGATGACGGGTTTGCAAGTTTTCACTTGATGTAGCTGAAAGACGGGGAGGTCGAGCAGCGAGAAGACGAGAAGAGTGGGGGGGAAGCATAGCTTCAAGTGGCGTGCTGGCTCAGATTTTGAATTGGCGTGTTGTTTCAAATTTCATCGTGGGAGGGGAAAGGAGAAACAAAACATCCTCTTGCCAGGAGCGACGAGCCTCACCTCCCTCAACCTGTTCAAATCGTCAGCCTCCTCTCCTACTGCCATCTTGAGCAAGTCGCTGGTGACCTGACGGACTCCCTGGGGATGGTTCTACCCAGAGACAAGCACGCCCTCTCATGGATCTGCTCAGCTCCAGTTACGCAAAAGGACAAGAGGAGCCTGTGTGGTTTGAGACAGACCTCAGCCTCGGGGTCGTCATGCTTGGAGAAGCAGTAAAGATGAATCATAGGGGGCTCGCATGCGGAGGAGCTGTCGACGTTGAAGGCATCAAGAAAGTCGCTGGCACTGAGCAAGGAGATCAGTGGTGGCCCGTCCACTGTCCCCGAACTCACCTGGCAGGAAGGTTCATGATGACATGCACGCGTCTTCTGGTGCTGTTCGCCTGCAAAAGGATCAACTTGAGTTCAAGTAGGGGATAAGATAATGGCACCGCGTGGCTCGCCATTCTCTGCCGAATGAATTCTCTCGCGTCCAAGTTGGAACATTGAGCGACGAGTTGCTCGCATCTTTTCCCAAACTTCTTTGCGTTGAGCTTGTAGTTCATCTTTTGATTTGACTTGTCATCGCCAACAAGTCCACATGCCTTCATTCACCTTGCAGTAATGGTGCGACTCAGGGTTCAGATCGTTGGCAAACACGTTGCAGCCCTGTTGCATTTCAACGACGAGGTCATACAATCATTAACCACCTTCACAGCAGCGACGAGCGCAAAGGGCCCGATGCCGGCAAACACATCCCAGATCTGCCGACCCGTCAAGTCGCTGTTGAGACAGAGAGTCTGTACCTCACTGTCAGGCTCGAAACCTTCTACCAGCACCTCTCTCTCGTGGTCCAGCCTCGAATTCCAATAGACCTGAGGGTCAGGGATGTGAGCCTTGCCGTTCATTCGAGTACCACTGCTGCACAGTGGCGAAACATAGGATCGTTGACCTTGCTGTAATCGAGCTTGAAAACAAGATCGTTTTGCTTCACCTTTCAGCAAGAGATTTGATATTCGACATGAAAGGGCCTCCTCCTCTTAACATATTACTACCTCTGTAGACATATCAGGAATCCCCGCCAAGACTTCGAACTTTTAAAGAAAAGTGTGAGGTCAACTCAATCTGAGTACCAATATTCTCTATCACCTCAGGCACGCGCAACTTGTTTTCTATCTGCCCTACCTAAAGTAAACGCGAGTCAACAGGCACAGATGCTTCTTCAATGGCAGCATTCTTTGTTGACTACAGTCTTGATGTGTGCCGACTTGAGCAAAATCACCTGTAGACATCTGGATAAGCAGAAGCAGTGGACAAGGTCGAGAGGATACTTGTGCGATCAAGTGTTTGAAGGGCTGGTGCTCATCCTTCAGGTTCAGATGTGCGATATGCCCTTGAGACAGTCAATCTCAGATCCCAGGGCGAATGGGTTGGAGGCTCACCGATCTGTTGGAATCCAGTAGGAATTGTGACATTCTGATCCACAAGGTCAACAAGTGAAGCAGCCGCACAGCTCAAGGCACCTCAGGCAGCAACTCTCGCATCATCTCGTCGGCCCCTAGGTTCTGATGAGTGATCATGACCTGATCGATCGATCATCGAGAGATACAGCTTCAAGATTATATGCTTTCCTTCTCGCTCACAATGCTTGCATCGTACTTCTCCGAGAAGCGTTTCACGTCATCGTGCATATCGTCCATTCCGTATGCATGGTCGTTGCTGGTGTTTCTGAACATGGCTTGCATACTTCCATCGTCTTCGACATGTTTTGATACAAGAAGTATCCTGTCCTGTTGTTAACCCCGAGAACAAAGAGTGGACATGAATCACTCGCCTTCTCTTGTCTGGATTTTCATGATCTTTCCTTACAATCTGTTGAGAGCAATCAAACGGCATGCCAAGAAGCTTTCATCGCGGACGTCACAACTAACCTTCAGTTTTGGTAAGTTGAAGAGGTACTTTCTCAACTCCGTGTGAACAAGGGAGCAATGTCTACCGAGCTTGTAAACAAAACATCTTTTTACAATCCAAAGTCTGCCTTGCATCTAGTCGGATTGCCGGCACAACGATCTCCTTTGAGAACGAAGAGATATTCAGGCTGCCATTGCGTTAGTGTCGATCTTGAACTTCTCGTGCTTCACTCGTTCTCCCGGTTCATATCTCCACCAGTGTGGACAGCTCGACACTGTGTCTTGCGAATCTTCTTGGTGTCATGCTGCGCTGCTACACCTGCATGTGGCGATGTGGGTTGTAGATTAGAGACAGCCAAACAGACCTGAAGGATCCGCGGGTCGCCCCCACAGCCTCTTTCTCCTCGATGTGAGGCTCTCGACCGTGTGACTTGAAGCTGAACCCATGGAGAGGAAAGGGATCCATCCAAACAGGTTCCACCATTGCCCGAGAGACCCTCCCCTCAGGTTCATCCTGCATTCCACTACTCTCGCTTCCTTGAACCTTTGCTGCGACACAACATTGTCAGAAATCGCGCCCGTCAAGGCTCATTCGTGGGATCCAACCTTCGATCGTGGCGAACGATCAATGAGCCAAGGGGAGGAGGACGATAAGGGGGAAGTCGAGGAGCAGCAGAGGGCTGAGGCTTCGTTTCTGACGGCGCCATGCTCGGATCGGAGCCCGCCTAGACTGCATGGGATGAACCCGAAGCTGGGCTGCCGTACCATCCTCATGCTTCCTTAGTGCATCAAGAGCGCTTGTGCAGGCCACGCTGTTGCAGCCGTTCCACTGGCTGTTGCCTTTGACCCGTGACGCCCCCGGGGCGGCGGCCCCGGGCCCGGTTGGTACCGTACGGTACTACGGTCACCCGGTACGGTAGTGGGCCGGGCCCAAACTTAAGCCGGGCCCGTACTTAACGGTACCTTGGGCGGCTACCGGCTAAGGCTGAACTTGCCTTGGCTTGAAGTGCTTGAAGTGACTGAGGGCCGGGGGGCCCTCAGTGACCCTTCGACTCTGTCCGGTCACCCGGGTGGTCTCAGTACTGGCAGTCCGATCGGGCCCGGGCCCCGGGTGGCCCGGCACCGTGAGCCTGGCCACCCGGTGACCGGCGGGCCGCGGCGGCCCCCAGTGACCCTCCGAACTCGATGATCGTCCGTGACAGCTCAGCGGCGAAGGCTTGAAGCCTGGTGACCGTCGTAAAGGTATACCGTCAATGTATTTCACTACATCACTCAGTCAAGCTAGTCAGCTGAGGCTGCCTTCCTGATACTATGATCCACCTGCTGCCTCCAACCGGCGAGGATCGCACGTGCGGAGCGAGTGGTCCAACCATGCTCCATCCTCCAAACCCTCCGCCGGATTCGACTACGCTGGGTTCGGAGCATGTGGCTCCTTCGCTGCCAGACACGAAGCAGGTCGAAGAATCGCGAGAGCAGTTTAGCGTCTCTCTGCCAAGCGTCATGATCTGCCGCAGCCAATGAGATCATACCCATGATAATCTTTTTTCCCCCTCACCACTCAACATTGCAAGGCGAACTCCATAAAGCCTCCGACAGCTCTGTTTGAAAAAACGCTTCTGTGGTGCAGACAACTCATTTGAAGTACAAAAAGATCGATCAAAACATTACCACCATAGCCTTGCAGACGAATGAGAACGAACGGCTTGAAAACCGCCAGAAGAAAAAGGCAAATGACAGCGAGTGCCAAGAAAGGGGAAAGACATGACAGAGCACCGAGAGAGAAACGACGCGAGAGGACATGAAGGAAAACGTCAACGACGCCCACTCACGTAGGAAACGAGAGACAATGTAAGACGAAAATGACCCTTGAACACACACGCTGATAAAAACCAAACATCAAAAACATTCCCGTCAGAAAAAAAAATCACCTTCGCAAAAAAAATCGATTGAAAAGAGTTCGCTTCCAGGTAACAAAACAATTTGAAACAACATGAGAACGTGCAGATGAATGTCCAACAACGAAAACTCCAATACCAAATCGAAAAAACGCTCGTCTCCCCGCGTGCTCTCGCCAGCCCTCCATCGCCTCCCTCGCCGTCTCCCGCCCCCGCCGCCCCGTCAGCCGCCCCACGACCGCCGCCTGTACCCGCCGTGCCCGCCGCCCTCCCGGCCCACGCCCGCAGCGCCTCCCCGACACTCCCCGCCTCCTCCCCGCGCCTCGCCCGGCCCGACAGGATCTCCCCGACTCGCCTCGCCCGCGCTCGTCTCCCCGCGTGCTCTCGCCAGCCCTCCATCGCCTCCCTC